AGATCCGCAGCGAGGAGGCGCAGCACGACCCCGCGCTGCCGCCCTGGTTCGCCAGCTACGACCCGGGCGCGGCCAAGAGCATCCTCAACAACGGGCGCACCTGCCGCGTGGTCTTCGACGACACCTTCGACCGCTCAGGTCGGCCCGGGGCCGGGGTCGGGGCCAGCCTGCCCGCTCCAGCGCCCCTACAAGCCCCCGCGGGAAGTGAGAGGTTGCCATGTTGGGGCGCCCTGGGGAGCCCGGGAGGGGTGGCCACCCACACGGACATGGTTTCCCACCTTGCCAGATGGCTGCACTCCTTGCGGCCAGGGCAGGCTGTGGCTGTGCCAGCCCCTGGCAGAGGGACCGGGACCCAGCTGGGCCAGCCCCAGGGGCAGGGTTGGGCCCCTGCACTGTCCCCAGCCTGCAGACCCGCCTGGCACCACTCTTCAGCTGTGTGCGGCCACAGAACTTGGGCACCACCATGCAAGTCTTGTACGCACATGTGCGCATATATATGCACACACCCCTTTGCAGGTGTAAGAGTGAAGGGTGCTGGCAGGTTGAATCCAGAACAAAAGCGTGATGTGGGTAGCAAGGGTTTTTGAGAAATATTGTCCTAAGCAGATGAGAAGGCAGAGCGGGGGATGCACAGTCAATGCCGATATCCTTCCAGTGGGTAGGGAATATCGGGGTGGGAGAGCAGCAAAAGAATCCTGGCCCCAAGTTGGGAGTGGGTTTTTACTTCCTTGGGTACGCTACGTGCACACTGAGCCGAAATCCTCAGGCTGTCTGCATGAGAAGCAACTTTCATGCACTGGGCTTTGAGGCGCACAGCTGGAACACCTGTACAAGCATAAGCTCCTATATACATGTGTGGAGCCTGCTTCGACATGCTGGAAATCCAGCTCATTGGAGCAGACTCCATTAATAGAGTCTTCTGCAGTACAGAAATAGATGCACTCCGGCTGCCTCGCATGTCACATGTATCAGCATCCCTGTGCATCTCCACGCTGAAAAAATGGAGGCAGGTGCTTTGAAATAAAACACGTTCAATGAGTTTTAGTTCAAAGCACCCCACCGCCACTTTTTCCTCATAGGGATGTGCAGGGACACTGATGCACATGATGCACAAGCGCTTTTAGCATAGCTTGCTAATTAAAGCCCCTGGCACTGTGTCCCACGACATGTAAAATGAGTATCTTTTTTGAAAGCTGCAAACTTATTATTTGTGACACAGGGAACTGGCTGCATTGACAGACCCAAAATCCACTGTCATCTTGGTGTCAGTCTCACAGGTTGGGATTCATAACTTAGGTATCCCTGCACCTCAAGCCCCTGAGGGCTTGTTCTGGTCCTGAGCACACTTAACAGTGAGAGCGCTGATTATTATTATTATTATTTTTAACACAAAGCATAGGATCTTTCATTCAAAAAAAGGCTGTCAGCCTCACTCCCTCCCTCCCTCACCACCATCCCTATTTGTTACACTGTAAAGTGGGTTTGCTTTATGCGAATTCGATTTATGTGCCATTCTCCGGGAACGCATGTACCGCATAAATCAAGGGAAACCTGTAGTCTAATACAGCAATCTCAACCAGGGTGCTATGGCACCCTGAGATGCCTTGAGATCCTTTCAAGGGTGCTGCAGGGTGTCACATGATGTTTAGCATTATTAGGTGTGCAAACATGATTCACATGATAAATCCAGATATTTCAAATAAGAATCAATGGCATTAAAAAGATTGCTAACCTGTTGGGGGTCTTTCTGAGTCTTTGCAATAGAAAAATTGCTTTATTTTTCTGTAGTTGAAAGACAAGTCAAAACTAGGAGCTGGCATTTTCGGAGGTGTTCCTTGAGTATAAAAATGTTTGAGAACCACTGGGCTAGCATCAAGAGCACTTGTCTATGGAAGGAGGAAGTCTAGGTTCAAGGCCCTCCTCACCCTGAGGAGGTTCAAACCTGTGTTTCCTAGTACCCTAAGTATAAAGATAGAGGCAAGTGTGGTCTGGTGAGGCTGTAGTCTCTATCCTTCTTCTTGAAGCTATGCCACTGTGCAGCAATAAAATGCTGGACTTGTGGAGCATGGAAGAAAGATTTATACTCTTTAGTCCGGCCATGAGGGAATTCACCTGGGAGAAAGGAAGCCTGGATTATAATTCCTGCTCCCAAAACTGTTTATACATTTTATCTAATGGTTTCTTTAAGGCAACATGCATAAACTGTCCATTAAGCAGGAGCTGGAGCCTAAGATTTCTCATTTTCATAGGAGTAGTTTCAGACCTGGAATATAGATTCATTCTCTCACACTTTATGAATCTTGCATTCCTCTTTGCCGTGTCCACAGTTAAGATGTTAACACACAAATTGAGTAGTTGTGCTTGTATTTTGGAGGCGCTTAATGAAAATGTAGTCTTGACGAGAAGTCATTTTAAATTTTATTTTTATGAAATAAGAAAAAATAATTTACAGGTTTGTGATTTGTTCAATTAAAGAAATACTCAAGCTGGTGTTTTTTTAAATGCAAGATATTGAAGTATAAAACTAGAGATTTTAACAGGACAGTACTGCCTAATGTAAGGATGGTTCTTGAAACTACAGCTGGAACCTTCTTAGTAATGTCCTCTAAAAACTTCCATAAAGTCACTTAGGTTCAGTTTTGAAATAAAATCACTTTCATGTGACAGGTGAATGAGGTTACCCTTTTTCAGGAGGTCAGGCTCATCTTTTGCTGTCAGGAGGGAAAAAAATCTCCTAAATTGCAATTAATGCTACAAACAACGAGACCACAAGAGACATTTAAAAAAATGTGGGGAAGACCCCTTTCATTTAATGGCGGCACCAATAATTTCTTTGGATTCTTTGCAGTTTCTCCTATGTATCGATGGTATAAAGGCAATCATTTCAATTTTCTTTCTCAACGTCTAATTCCAACAAGTAAAAGTATGTAGTGATTCCTGTTTCAAGAAGTCTGAAGAACTAGTGCAAGAGATTTCTGCCAAGCTTTTGTATAAGTTGGAATTTTTAGAAAAATCTCTGTTGTAATTCATCGCTAGTTTTATTTGTTCATGATAAATCTGGGATCAGTGATGTTCATTTATGGGAACATCTATGGGATCTTGAAATTTTGGGGGTATTACCTTGGCTCTCCAGGTGGCGCATCATGCAGTTGATGCTTCCTCACATAAATCTTTCAAAACAAGGTACTTAGATAAAATCTCTGAGAAAAAAAATCTTAACGCTTCTCTCTTGTCAAATCTCATTGCAGGTATCAACAGTCAGTTCAGCTCCTTTAGCAATGTGCATTATTCCTTTTGAAGGTAGCTGTTCATGGAAGCAAAGCCTTTCATTCCTATAATCTCAGATAAGAACAAGATTTTGGGTGATACCATAACTTTCAACAGCCCTCTTTCTTCAATAGATTGCCATATCCATTCAAAAAAATGACAGGATCCTTTGAATCTCTTCCAAATTACTGAGGATTCTTTCCAAGGTTCCCCGGTGGCTGATCTCTTTGTTTCTATGCTTCTGTGGTTCCTTCAAGAACCAAAGCACTGTCCATTGCCTTCCACTTGCACGTGCACAAATGCAGTAGGGAAGCCACCCCTATGAGATGCTCTCAAGTACACTGCATATAAAAGTCAAGAGCATCTGTGAAAGACACCACAGGAGTAGCTTCACTACTGTATTTCCAGATTTGGTGAATGCTAGCAGGAGTGGATGGGTAGGACAGGTTCAGGGATATCCTGCCCTTTCCTGAAAACAGTGTTAACCAACAATTCTCAACCATGGTTCTGTAGCACCCTGGGGTGCCATGAGATACTTTAAAGCATGCTGTGGGATGCCACACAATATTAACACTGTTAGGCATGCAAACACCTACATGTATTTGTAGGATAAATCCAGTGGTTTCAAATGGGAATCCATATTGTCAAAACCATTCTGACCTGTTGTCGTCTTTCTGAATTTTTTGCAACAGAAGAATTGGTTTATTATTTTTCCATTAGTCAAAAGCAAAATACCAGCTCTTAGCTTTAATTCTCAAGGGGTGCCTTGAATCTAAGGAGGGATGTCTTGAGTCTAAAAAGGTTGCAAACCACTGGTGTAACCTTACCCTATGAGTCTTTACAGGTGCTACCTTTTGTACAGGACACTCACATCATGCCTGTAAAAAAAATGTAGTTACAAGTTAAGAGCATATCTCACTGCTGAGTTCCTCTCAGAGAGGTGAGTAACCCAGGTGTAACTGGTGATTCAAGCACTTGGCAGTTTTGTTGGCTTAATTTCTCTTCTAAAAGCATTTGTATACCTTTACCCTGATATGACTTTCCCATCAAAGCAAGAATAGTGAATATTCTGAAGGTCAAGACCCATTTTTTAGCAATATTTCAAAATTTGTTCTTTTGTTTCTTTCATAGTGATGCTGTGTAATCAGGCAACTTCAGTAAGTCTTTCCTTGGGTTTGCCATCAACAAGCGTAACGTAAAATTGTGGGTAAATAGTCTACATTCCCAGTGTCCCCTAAAAGTGTCATATTTTAGGCAAAAGAACTTGACATCACCATTTTCCTGAATATCTTTCAAAACAGTCTTTTTAATAATCAACTTTTATATTTTGAATTTCAGCAGAAAGATTCATTCAAATCCTTGAATTTTGGATTTTGTTTTGCAGGAAATTTACAAATGTTAATGAAAATACCTGATGAATTGTTTGGAGTAAGCTACAAGTCCTTAATGTTTATGATAGATTTGATCTCTCGGAGGCGCTTTATTTATCACAACAAACTGAATAATTTTTATAGTGTTTTTAAATAGTACCCATTTCCTTCAATTTGCAAATGTAACAGCAAAGTAGTAATTGTGCTACCTGAAAAAGTGATGATAAAATAAGTATCAGTAAGTCATTAATGTTGTTGAGCAAATGAATAAACCTAAATAATAATAATTTAAAAAAAACCCTAGTTTTTGTTTGTTTGTTTGTTTGGGGGGGGGGTTCTGGATAAACCAATACCCAGTTTTTGGAGCATTCCTAAAGATAAGAGCCTGAAAGTTTATAGCAGGGGTGGTCAATTATTTCGGGCGGAGGGCTGCTTACTGAGTTTTGGCAAGCTATCGAGGGCCACATGACAGGCAGCCAGGGGCAGATAAATATTACTTTT